TATGTCCAATAAAACAGTGTCAATAAATAAACAGATAAGCATATTGTTGACCATGGATGAATCCTGATTCAAATAAAGCAATTGTAAAAATATTTTGAAACTGTTAAGAAAATTTATATATGGACTGTATATTAGATAATACTAACAAATCATTGTTTGTTAAAGATGTAATAGCATGGTTGTTATTTTTAAAGTCCTTTTTGTAAAAATGCAGGGGAAAACATGAAATCTTGTTTCTGCATTGAATACTTTAGCAAAAAATATGGAGTGATAGATGAATCAAGTATGGCAAAATCTTGACAAATATTGGCTATACGGAGCTCATTATACTACTCTGTTTCTGTGTGGTTTTTTTTTTTTAAATGTGATTTACTTTTAGAGAGAGGGGAAGGGAGGGAGAAAGAGAGAAACACTGATGTGTGAGAAAAACATCAATGGCTGCCTCTCACACACTCCCAGCTGGGAACCTGGTCCACACAATCCAGGCATATGCCTTGACAGGGAATCGAACCGGCAACCTTTTGGTTCTCAGGCCAGCACTCAAGCCAGTGAGGCACCGCTGCCTGCCAGGCCTTGTGTATGTTTGAAAATTGTCATCACCACCATCATCAGGCATAAGACTTACCAATAGAGAGAGACTAATAAAAGCAGGAGTAGACAATTGGCCAAGAAAAAATCTCAATCTATTACCCTTCCATATCCCATAACTGGATTATTTTTCTCTCTACGAGTACTTAGACAAGGTCTAGTATTTTAAAAGTGAGATGAATCTGTTAAATACATTATATTCTACATCCTTGAGGACAGCAGATAATGATTTGTATTTAGAGAGTTTACACCAAGACAGCAGTAAATTAAGTTAGCTGATTTAAACAGACAGCCAAAAATGGCCTGCCCAAGACAAAATGAGTATAGAAAAATGATATTCCTCAAATGTCTATCACAAACTACTATCCCACATTTTCAGTGAATTCAATAGCTTTATTTATTGTTGATGTAACCAATGTTGTACAGGTATCAACACTATGAGTCAAGTCTCACAGAAAGAATTCCAAAAATAAAATTAGTGGGATATGTTAGGCACCATGTTTTCTCTCTGAATAGGTATAACATCAGAAGCTTCCCCAGAGCATTTTGTCCTTTGTGTGTGTGTTTGGGTGGGTGAAAAGCAGGAACTAGAGGGCAAGAGATACAGGGCAGAAGAGAAGTTTAGCACAGGGCCTTAATTAACAGTAGGTATGTGACCCAAAATCTTTAACGTGTGGTGCCTGCTGAAGCTGGGCAGCAAGGAGGACCTGAAGAGGTGGCATGCTTTTCCCACTGCCCACAGTGCTGAGTCAGACCATCCACACACTCCAGGGAACAATGCCAAAATGAGTAAGCCTCAGAATCTATTTATTTGTATTGTTTGTGACTCACACACCCTGGCAAGGGCAAAGGGAAGTTTTTATTCCTGACTGTTGGCTTTTGGTTGGTAAACATTCAAAATGTCCTAGTGTTATAAGGCAATTATAGTAGAATTAATCTTCAGCATTAAAATGGCATAATTAATTACACTCATTACAGGTATAATCAAAATTACTAACTGATTGAAGTTTGATAGCATGAGAAGTCCTGGAAGTCAGTCAGATACCCCAAGAGTGAAGCTGGTGGTGCCTGGCACTATTTCCAACAGAGTGAAATAAAAGGTGCTAAAATCTCTGTCAGACCACATCTCACAGTCTGAGGAGATGGATTTGTTCTATGGCTGGAGTGGTGAAAAACTCAGCTGATGTGAGGAAGCAGAGGAACCTTCTCTTTGTTTGCGTTAGCCCTCTAGCACATCAGCTCTTCAGAAGAGGACAAAAACTGGGGTAGAGGATAACTCTATTTTCCCTACCAAAGCTCAGTGTTACTTGAAGTGGGTAAAATGATTAATCTTCATCATTGTATAAACAATGAGGATAAGTCCTACACCTAGAAAAGGAAGTATAACAGAGCTTCTTAAAGAGATCTTACTTATGATCATATCTGAAGCTCAACAACTTAGATTTTTGCTTTTGTTTTCTAGAGAGAGAGAGGCAGACAGAGACAGAGACACATCAATTTGTTGCTCCACTTACTTATGCATTTGTTGGTTGATCCTTGCATGTGCCCTGACCGGGATTGAACCCGCAACCTTAGCATATCGCAAAAATGCTCTAACCAGCTGAGCTATCCAGGCAGGGCTAGAGTTTTTTTTAATAGAAGACATAGTAGAATATGGCTAAAGACAGAAGAGAATTATTTAATCACACAGATGATATTTCCCTAGGTTTACCTTACAGTTGGCTTACTCAATAAAAGCACAGAAAAAATATCATGCAAGAGAGGGAGACTTGAAAAGTGTCTCCAAAAATGCACTTCACCAAGTAAAAAAGGAGCAGAAGGAATTTGTTGGTGCAGAAAATGTATACAACTATTTTCCCTGTTTAGCTAATCTCTCCTTCTCAGTTCCACAAAACTATCATTGGCACTGTATCATTTAGATAGACATCTTGAAATCGCTCCCTCACTCCTGGGAGCGTTGGCCTGCCTGTGACCCCAGCCCAAACTTTGACCAGCTCAACTCGGCCTTGTGCTGTTGTTGGCTGCAGTACAGAGACATGACGGTCCAAAGGCACAAGGTTGCACCAGCCAGACACACTGTGCTCAGAGTGTTTCATCACCCTCTGCCAGACATCTAGGATTGAAATAACACCTCTCCGCTGACTCCAAACACTAGCATGTATCAACAGCGCACACACCCTGGAACAGGGCTACCTAAGCAGGATGGGAGCAGAGGTGCATACCACGCACAGTTGTGGGATTAGCAGAGATGAAAGCAGCACATGTCGGAGGCTAAATTAGATCTCACATTGTCCTCTGCTTATGCACCTTTAGCATTTACCACAGTGGTCTGTTGGATGCCTGTCTCCCCACAGGAACCATGTCTTAATCACCTTTGGATACCCAAATAATCGCCCTGGCTGGTGTGGCTCAGTGGATTGAGTGCCAGCCTGCAAACCAAAGGGTCACCAGTTCGATTCTCAGTCGGGGCACATGCCTGAGTTGTGGGCCAGGTCCCCGGTGGGGGGCACCCAAGAAGCAACCACCCATCGATGTTTCTCTCCCTTTCTCCTTCCCTTCCCTTCTCTGCTCTCTAAAAATAAATAAATAAAATCTTAAAAAAAAAAAAAAAACACCAAATAATCATGTAAGGGTCCCCCTTGTGGGTAGAAAATGCTCAACTGCCACTGTTCAACTTCCACTCTTTCTGGAGGTACCATGGAAAAGACAAGGACCAAAAATAGAAAAGACAAATGCATGACAAAAGAAAACCCAACATGTGAAAATATTCACTTCCATATAGGCTGAAAAAAGAAACCAATGCTACTGGCTACCCTCACCTAGTGATTTTTTAATCTTCTTAACCTACCAAACTGAAACTCCTTGTACCCTTTTAAATTCATAACCCAAGATATGCAGCAGCAGCACCACCACCACCCCCAATCTATAGGGCCCCATAAACGAGCACTTCAAGATCAATGAAAGCCCAAATTCTCACCAACTGCGCAGAAAACCAGCGATAAATTTTGTTCTCCTTGAAACATAGCATACATGTGAAAATAATGTATCCAACCCAGAAAAATAAAAAATTAGTAGGTTTGTTATATCTGAGAGGAAGGTATCTGGCAGTAGTAATAAGAGGATATCTAATCTTGGCAGAAATGTTTTCAGTGATAATACTTTGGTGTTTAAGTAGACACCATGAAAACTCTACCAATTGTTTCAATCATTTGAACATAGCAATGAACCAATGAACTATACAAAAATGCACAGATGTTTTCATGCAAATGTTATTTTTAAAATATGCTACAATATAAAATTTCTACAATTCCTCTTAGACAAGCCTCCAGAAGATAAATCCTTTCTAGTGAAGTGTTTAACATTTTGACCTTCTTTAATCCCAAATGAGAGGGGCACAAAATTGTTTCAACAATTATTTTTGAAAACTGCATAAAGAGTTAATCTTTTAATTAAATCTAGTGATTCATTTCTTCCTAATGTTATAGCCACTACTCCCATAGAATTCTACTCCCCTATGAACCTACTGTTTTAAACAGTTCTTACAATTCTTTAAAAAGGGGGTTTGGGGGATAAAAGCAAAGCACACACATAGAAACTGGTTAAATTAATTGATTTGTTAACTCACTTCAAACAAAAATTAAACAAGTTCCTTTACCGCAGGGCTTTTCTGACCATTTGTTACTGTGCAATACTATTCTCCAAAAGGAAGGTGTTATATATGGTTCCCAAGCTTATTTCACAGGAGAGTTATTTTATTTCATGTATTATCACTTAGCTTTTAGTAAGAAAGAGTGTCCTGAGGAACATACTTTGAGAACCATAAATTAGAATAAAGTGTTAATAAAACCCCTAAAACAGGTTAAACTCCCAGGTAGTTCAGTTACCTTTTCTTTAAGCCATTGACAACATCTTTAAAACCATGAACAACCACTTTTAAATGCATGCCTTTACAAATACCCCATAAGAACACATAGGTAAATAGCAAATATTACCTTCTTTACAGTAACAACTCATTCAACACTCAGGCAGCTGCTATTTTGAACAGAATTATGAATAATCCAAGGCCTATAGAATGCACTACTCCTTGACTATTCCAAGTTCAAATTTAGTAGATGTAAATGAGGTATTTTATATTATCATATTATTGGATATTTTAACCATTGTAATGAAAAGAAAACCCTGGCTGGTGTGGCTCAGTGGACTGAGCACCGGCCTGCAAACCAAAGGGTCGCTGGTTCGATTCCCAGTCAGGGCACATGCCTGGGTTTAAGGCCAGGTCCCCAGTAGGGAGTACGCATGAGGCAACCACACACTGATGTTTCTGTCCCTCTTTTTCTCCCTCCCTTCCCCTCTGTCTAACAATAAAACAAACAAAATCTTTAAAAAAAAGAAAAAAGAAAAGAAAGACTCACCAACAGAAGCTGAGTTTTTAAGAACCGACTCCTTTGGGGCTCCTCTTTCAATTCGTAGTGTGGCCCACTGTTTAAAAACAAGATGTATTAATTTAAACTCATCCATAGACACAGTGTAGCATACTTAAACCATATTTATTTGGAAGCGAATTAAACATTAAGCCCTGGTGCTACTCAAAATAAGAGAGATCCCCCAGTCAATCTCTGATGTAGCACTATTCCAAATCCTGGGTATACTCTTGTTTTAGTCACTGATAACGCCCCCATAATAGGGGGGAAAGGATCACGTTTACCCTATTTAAATCCTTCACACACACCTGGTACCCCAATAAATTACTCCTTGAAAAGGTCACGCAGCATGTTGGGCAAGAGCACAGGTTATGGCATCAAGACTATCTGAGTTTAAAGTAACAATCACTTTAGGCCTCAGTTTCCTCATCTATGAAGTGAGGATATTTCCTACCCCCTAGGGTTTGCCATAAGGATTAAAGGAGATTAACACATGTAAAAACCCAGGGCCCAAAGAATAACTATTATTTTCATAGCAAATTAGTCACTCAAGAGTAAGACATACTCCAAAAGGCCTAAATGCCTGCATCAAAGATAAGCTTCAAAAAGAAGGCAAGGTGAGATATGAAAAGCTGAAAGGAATCAGTGAAGTTGATAACTAAGAAATCATCTGTAAATGGTCACTTACATTTTAAGATGCATAGGGAAAATGCTATGATTACGAGAAACCATAGCTTTGAAAGAAGCTAAGAGGAGGAAAAATCAGCCTCCATATTGTTTTGAAAGTATATAGGAGTGTAAAGAAATATTTCAAGATGTGACATCATTTTTTTCTTTACACTTTTTTAATGCATTTTCAAAATTATCTACCTTTAACATCATAGTTCAAAAACTATAAATTAACTTTGTTGACAGTATTTCAGAAAATCCCAGTGGTTATTTTTCTAGTTTAGAAAAGAAGCCATTAAAATATTATTCAGATGATTACAATTTTAGAAGGTAACTCTGGCTAAATTGACTGCTTTGGGGTCGGGGTGGGAAGAAAAGCAAATTGAGAGGTAAAACACATTGTAATAATTATAATTAGAACTTAAGCACCCTCAAAGGAACAAAAATAATGTATTAAATATGTCAAGACAAAAAACTCAGTTATTGCTCGGCTCAGAGGGATTAAACAGAGAGATGAAAATAACAATTTCAAATAAATAAGCAAATAAGCCGATAGAGAACAAATAACCTAAAACATATTCATGAAGGTCAAAGAGTAAGGCATGATCTGACCTAATCAGGACCCCTGCACAACATTCCAAAGAGGCAAGTAGGAACATGCCATTTGTGCTTAGAGAAGAGCCTATAAATAGAGGCCTAATCCTTCAGACTTCAAGTGCCAAATCACAAATGATAATAAGACAGTCTTAATTTGGTTGCATCTTTTTCTTTTCCTTGATGACTTAAACTCTAGGCCTCGCACATTTTCTCAATAGAAGTAAAGGTTTATGTCTACAGTTTTTCTTTTTTTCTTTTAATTTTTTATTTACTGATTTTTAGAGAAAGAGAGAAAAACACTGATTTGTTATTCCACTTATGTATGCATTCATTGGCTGCTTCCTGTTTGTGCTCTGATTGGGGATCAAATCCACATCCTAGGTGTGCTGGGATGGCACTCCAACCAACGGAGCTACCCAGCCGGGGCTCTATAGTTTTTCAATTTAAAGCTTTGGTACTCATTATCATTTATAAGTAGACCAAAAATATGATTAAAATAAAATCTTATAAACAATCATTATTAATCTTGGAGCTCAGTATTTTTATTAAAGGCATCTGATTATGTATTTTATATAAATCATAATTACCTTTAACTAGGACAGTTATTTCATACTTATATAATGGAAAAATGTTCATATTTTGTGGTTGTTATGGGTTTAACATTGCCCCCTCCCCACAAAAATCATAGTTGAAGGCTTAACCCCCAGTACATGAGAATATAACTCTATTTGGAGATATGACATTTAAGAAGGTGAATACGTTAAAGTGAGGTCCTTAGAGTGAAACCTAATGCAGTTTGCTCAGTGTCCTCAAAGAGGAGGAAATTTGGATGAACAAAGAGATACCAGGAATGCACACACACAGAGGAAAGGCCATGTGAGGACATAGCAAAAAGACAGCTACCTGAAAGCCAAGGAGAGAGGCCTCAGAAGAAACCAACCTGTTATCACCTTCATCTTAGACGTATAGCCTCCAGAACTGTGAGGAAATAAATTTCTGTTGTTTAAGCCAACCAGTCTGTGGTACTCTGTTATGACAGCCCAAGCAAACTAACACAGGGGCATCGTTCACTGCTGATGAATTCTCTCTCTGAACCTCCATTCCCCAATCTATCAACGGTAGTGACAATAAATCCTATCTCAGAGCATTGTTGTGGAATTAAGTGAAAAATCACAGTGCCTTGCTAACTTTTCTTTATTATTACTTTCTGTCATAAATAACCATGGCCTCCTAGCACATTTGCTATATTTCCAACATAGGTATAATAACTGGGAATTATAATAAGAGGTGTCATAACCACCTGAGAATTATTGACATACATTTTAAAAGATGGAAAAATTTGTAGACAGAAAAGAGGGTGAAGGGAAAGACTACTACTTAAAATAAGTGGCAGGAATTTTCTACTCTGAGTATGTATGCTAACCCATCAAAGATCTGAAGGTAGGTTCATTTTGTCCACGAAGAAGAAGAAAGAAGAAAGAAGAAGAAAGAAGAAGGAGGAGAAAGAAGGAGAAGGAGGAGGAGGAGAAGGAGGAGGAGGAAGGAGGATGGAGCAGGGAGGGGGAAGGGAGGGGGAAGAAGGGGAGGGGTAGGGGAAGAAGACCAAAGAGTTTCTGAATTCAAACTCCACCAAGAGTCAGCACCTACTATGCATCAAGTGCTTTTATTCACCTTTCCTCATTGAATCTCCACAGTAACTCTAGGAGACATATTCCTCTATACATGTGTCAAAACTGAGGCTGAGGTGGTGGTAGGTGACCTGCCCAAGGTTACAAGGTCAGAAATTTGAAGGAACTTATTCATGCTTCCATCTTGTTCCTCAAAAGGTGAGGAAAAAGTGAGTCCATTAACATTTACTATCTGATTAGATAATTTAATAACATTCCCCTACCTTCTTCTCCATCAATCCTATATTCTTTTCCCATTCTTTATTTCCCTCTGATCTTAGGCCAATGGATAGCAATTCTTCACTATCCTCACCCCCATCAATAACCTTACAATTAACTTTCATGGTTGACAACAGCATTTTTCTTTTTCTTTTTTTCTTTAATCCTCACTTGAGGATATATTTATTAATTTATTTTTTAAAGATTTTTACTTATTTTTAGAGAGAGGGAAAGAGAAGGAGAAAGAGAGGGAGAGAAACATCGAAGTAAGAAAGAAACATCTATCAGTTGCCTCTCCTACTTGTTCCAACCAGGGACTGAACCCTCAAACTAGGCATGTCCTCTGACCAGGTATAGAACCAGCAACCCTTGGTTTTGCAGGGTGATGCCCAGCCAACTGAGCCACATCAGTCAGGACTGTCTATCAATTTTAGAGAGAGAAGATGAGTGAGAGAGAGAGGATGAGTGAGACAGAGAAAGAAAAACTTCGATGTTAGAAACAGATCAGTTGCCTCCCTTTCGCGCCGTGACAAGGGACTGAATTTGGCACTCTAGGCATGTGTCTGGACCAGAATTCGAACCCACAACCTTTTGGTGTTGAGCGACCCAGCCAGGGCAACAACAGCATTTTCAACCTTTAACCTGTACTCCTCTCTAATAAAATAGAAACTTCACACATACCCTCCTAGAGATTCAAGTTACATATACCCCACCATCCAAATAGGTTACTCTCTATGTATCCCCTCAGCCAAAAGTTTTATACTTTGTATTCATAAAATACTTTTCCCTATATAATTATACTATTCCTTAGAAACTATTATATAGACCTTGAAAATCACTAGTTTAGAGAATCACTAAACTTCTTCTAAGAATCCAAGTCTTGTCCTCAAGTAGCTTGTATATCAGGGGCTTATGCACTCATCTAGAGATATACAGCAATGCAGAAGGCAGCATGCAGCAGGTGCTCAATAAATGATACTGAAATAATGAGCAGCTAAGAAAGAGTCAGAGAAGAACATACAGTTGAGTCAGTTACTTGACAAATAGCAATTACCACAATCAGCTATTCAGAAGGCACCCCACATATTTTAAAGTCCCAAATTTGAGTTTATGGTCATGGAAAAAGCCATCCATTGTCAATAAAACTTAGAAAAATAAACACATAATGTACAAAACCAAATGACCCTTTAAATGGTATGTAAAGCGTAACCAAGAAAACTTGAGAAATTTCAAATTCCAATCAAAAAGCCCATAGTATGTTCTTGGAACTGGAATGCAAGGGAAACAACCGAATCAGTTGAGAACATACTAAATAGTAGGAAGGGCTGGGCCTTGAATGGAATCTACAAAAAGGCAGGGTATTTGTCCAGAACTAAAGATGTTCTAATATTAATACTAACAAAGGAGTCTGTTTGTTTGTTTGGGGTTTTTTATTTTTTGGTTTATAAAATTATTTCTGAAACAGGAATAATCAATTGAAGTATAATTCATAGACAATAAATTATACATTTAAAGCATGCAGTTGATAAGTTTTGACGTATGTGTACATCTACAAAACCATCACTAACAAAGATGTTCTAGTACTAAACAACTAGCACATTTTTTTAAAATTTTTAAATATGTTTATTGATTTTAGAAAGAGAAGGAGGGAGGGAGAGAGAAAGAGAAACATTGATGTGAAAGAGAAACATCACTTGGGTGCCTGCTATATGTGCCCTGACCAGGAGGTGAACCTGCAGCCTTTTGGTGCATGGGATGATGCTCCAACCAACTGAGCCACCCAGCCAGGGCAGCAACTAGCACAGTTTTTAAGGGAACTATCCCTATACTCAGGAAAAGCAATCCACTTCCACTATACTAACCCTCACCTAACAGAAATGTCTTTGAAACACCTAACGCTGTTTTAGCGGATGAAAAGCCCTGGGTTGCCATTTTCCTCTCCTCTGCCTAAAGCAGAACGCACTGTGGGATCACAGACTTTCCCGATGAGCCCTTCCTTCTTCCAAACACAAGCGTTCCAGGCATGTTCAACCAACAAGTCAGAGTGGACTCACAGAATGAATCCCCATCCTAATTCCACATATGTCAAGCTTCTCTCTGACCCAACAACTTAGTCTTGACAAGCACGGTGGTTCCTTATGCTGCCAATGTCCACCTAGTTTCCAAACTAAGTGGTATATCTCCCACTACAATCAAAAATTGGTGTTTTAGAGAGCTTAATTAATAAAGAGTACATCTCTGAAAGTCTTCAACTCTAGATGGGCAAAAAAGAAAACCTGAGGCCTTGCCAAACTGACAGCCAGTCCTGGGCCAGAGATACCTCTTCTAAGCATAATATTTACTTGCCAGGCTGACAGCAACTGCTGGCCTCTCTCCTGGTCGTATCTTTAGCTCTATCTTGAAATAATAAAGCAAGAAATATAGGCGTCAGCACCTGGAAGCCAGTCTCTGTGGTTTACTCTCACTCCATCCTCACTTGGCATATAAATTCCAAAAGACATTGCTGTACGGAAAAACAGTTCAATCATTTCAGAGTTTTGAGAAAAAGTGAAAACCAGCTGAAGAGGATCATGTGCTATGAGGAGAATATTCTGAAGAAGTCTAACAATAACAAGCAGCTGTAACATTCACAGCATAATTCAGAGCATAGTTCACAGCAATTCACAGTGTGAAGTCAATAAGAAAGGTTCAAAACTGCGAAATATCTCCCAAGTAGAAACAACAGAACTTTCAAAACATGGAAGCTGAGGATGAAGAATCAAATATAACTTCAAAGACTAGACAGAAAAATGGCCAAAAAAAAATTGCGGTAAAACAGGAGATTATATCAGCAGGTAGAAAAGATATGCAGGATATTAGTAAGTGGAAAATTAGCAAGCCATCTCCAGGTATGAGATTAGCAGGTTGGAGATAGATAGATATAGATATAGATATAGATATATAGATATATGAGCCACCAGGCAGGCTGAGAAAAAACCAAGTCCTGAGACAGAAAATAAGGGCAGAAAATTGAGAATCGACATTAGAAGGTAAAGAAATGAGGATGCTAGATTCTAAATAATATTATTATTCTTTTAACAACAGCAAACACTTATATAGCACCTAACATGTCCCAGCACCCTTCCAAGATGTCTGACATATTTTAACATTCTTAAACGACCCTATGGAAACAGGTGTTATTGTTACTCCTATTTGATAGATGAGATAAATGAGGCACAAGAAGTAGGTGACTTCCCTAAGATCACATATTGAGAGTCAGAGCTGGATTTGGGTATCAAATCTAAGCAAATCTGTGCCTAGTCTGTACATAACCATTAGGCAAACATACCCTCTCCTCAGTTAGGACCACTTCATTCAAGACAGCCACTGAACTCAGAGTCTCAATTTCCTTATCTGTATGAAAGGTGAATAATAAGTGCCCTCCCTACTGTCCAAGGCTTTGGGGAACAGAAAATGAGATAGTAAAGAGGAAAGCCTTTGTCATTTAAAAAATCCTGGTATAAGAAGGAGTCACAGTTGTTCCCCACCAGACCCACCTGCACCTAACACCTTTGCAGAATTTAGAAAGAAGACTGTAGGGAGTGCTGAGGTCAAAGACACACTTTCAATGATAGTTCAAGTGTCATTGATTATATAAAATTCCCATGACTTCATTAAAGTATAATCACATATTTTTTCTACCATTCAGCAACTGGTTTCTTATCTTGAGTATAAACATGATGCCTTAGTACAAGAAAGGACCTCTGAAACCTGGAGCTGTAAAAATTTCGGTGAGCTGACAGCTGGACTGCTTAATGGATATAAAGAAATCCAACGATATAAAGGGCAGCCACACAGTTAACACAATCAGTAAAAATAATAACAGAACTAGGGGTGGGGTAGTTGCGCCTTCCAGAAGCAGAACAATAGGGTGGTCCAGTGGTCTCAGCCCACATTTCTCCAGCTCTGAAGAAGCAATCTTCGCGTTAGTACGGAGGGTAAACCGAAACGCACACCCCTGCGGACCACCGACCTTTAGAACTGGTCCCCTCTCAACCGAGCTCTATCCTTGGCCCCCACCACCCTGGGTTCTCTCTCAAGCCCTCTGAGGTGCGAGGACGCTGCATCCTTGCAGTCACTCACCTCTAAAGTTTTCACCAGAATCTTAATGTAGATCTCGGAGATGCCCAAAGACACCCCGAAGGCCGAAGGCAAAAGGATGAAGACGAGCACCAGCGTCAGCCAGGTGTAAAGGATCGTCCCGGCCAGCTCTGCGCCCTCCATGGCTCCGCGCACCCTTTTGGAAGGGGTCCCGGAGAAGGGAGGAGGTCCGAGCGAGACTGCTGTTGTCCCCAGGGAGTCGTACGGCAGCTCCAGGAGCAGAGGCGCGGAGTCCGGCCTGGAGAATCAGCGCCGCTGCCTCCTGGCACTCACCTCTGCAGGGAAACAAAAAAAAAAAAGAGAGGAAGGAAGGAAAAACTTTCAGAACAACTGCAATTTCCTTCCTTCCTTTTTGGGCTCCTCGCGCGGGCGGATTAACTCTCCGCTGGAGGCCCAGACCAGGGCTGAAGCCACCGCAGTGCTCGCAGAGCTGGTAGCACCGGCCAGAAGAAGCGAGATAGGGTGACAGCGCAGCGCCCGGGAACGCGCCCCACCCTGTGCCTGATTTCCTCTGGGTGGCAGTCACGACAATTCAGCGGGTGACTCACCACGGAGGCCCTTCGGAAGTAAGGGTCCCTGCGGACTCACCGCACCACAGCACACCGGCCGCAGGCTGAACTGGCGCCAGGCCGAGGACTGTGCTGGTGGCTGGCGGCGCTCGCCGGACGCCCTATTTCTGCGCACCACCCTCGCTCCACCTCCTCCGCCACCCAACCCAGAACATCCAGGACAGACGTGCTCTGAGATTGCCGCAGCCTCCTGGGCGACCTCCAGCGTCCCCTTGCCCCGCCTACCCCAGCACTCCCAGCAAGTCCCTTAGGGCGCAGGATTTTCATCTACAAAATGTTAGCATTTTTTTCAACCCCTAAGACGAACTCCTGACATGCCCGGGACGCTTGAGAAGGTCTTGTTTGTGTGGGTATAAAACGACTTCTTGCCAAGACTTCGAGGGAAAAGGAAATGCACTGAGCGCTCCCCAGCTACCGTTTACGCTTCTCCGGTGTCTACCACATTTTTCGGCTCCCTTCTTCCACCGAGTTGAGCTTATCAGGGCGGTGTGGAAAGCTTTCTCCACGAGTTGCCTGTTCAGCCGCTGTCTTCCTGGCACAGAAATCTTTCAGCTAGCTGAATGTTGCGCTCTTCCTGGGATAAGAGATGCCAACCACAGATTCCTGCCTGCCACCCCCGCCCCCCAACACCGCACCCTCCCTACCCCACTCTACTCCCCGTTTACCCGGCGCTCAAAAGCACTGAAAGCTGCAGAAGAACGCCAGGGAAGCCTTGAGCAAACTGACAGAGCCCCCTGGGTATTATCCCTGCACTGCTGCCTTGCTAGCACGCATTAGAACAATGAAGGGCAAAACCCTATATGGGTATTTACCTCACTGCAGTCCACGGCTCTTAGAGACGTGATATGATTTTAAGAATGAGCATGAGAATTGAGATGTTGGGAGTGCAGTAGGTAGGAAAATCACTGCCAAGGTTTTCCAGATCACCACTGAATGGGACCAAAATCTCATACAGGTCTCTTTCAGGTATTACTTCAAGCTGGAAAAACTGGGAGGGCCAACAAACTGAATGGAAACTGTTGATGGCAAATACCACGAAGAAAGTGGACCGTGCCCAGGGTGTGGAGGAAGTGAGAAGCAGAAGGGAGCAGAGAAGCCCAGCTGCAAAGAATGTAAATGATTGTCCTTCACCAGGTATCACAAACCCCCTCTCCCATTGAGAAGGAGAAAAAAGATAACTTGGTCATAAAAACCAAGTAACAAATGAGGGGGTTCAAGCACTTGGTTTCTCAGAATTAAACTTTTGTCAATTTACAAAAACAAGGACAGCACAATTGCCAAAATCTTTCCAAAGTCCTTGCTGAAACTAAATATGGATTTAGCACAAAGCCTCAAAGATTATACTGACTCGTTTAACCCTATATGCCCAGGCCCTCTTTTTATTTAAGGAATGCTGAATGATTGAACCAAAGTTTACCCAACGAAGTGCCCATAAAGGCAACTTCCTGTAAGGGCAGCCTCTTTCTGCCCATCCAGACACAGGTGCTGAGTGCCCACAATCTCCAATGATTACCGTTGTTCATAACCAAACTCTAGGAACTGGTTTGGGGGTTTTTGTTTGTTTTTGTTTTTGTTCTGTTGTTTTGGGTTGTTTTTTACTATTATGGAAGAAATATTGTCCCACAGAATGGTGGAATGGTAATAACGTAGAATTTGGAGTCTAGATTGACTCTAGCACAGACACATAAATTTGAACAATTCACTTAGTCCTTGTGTGTCTCAGCATTCTCATCAGTAAAATGGATTTTTTTAGGGTCAAATATGATTGTATTTTAACTGCTTTTTGAACAACAAAGCTCTCTGCAGAGATAAGAAGGCAGCCCCGTACAAGAGCAAAAGCTTACCATCTTTTGTCACATAAAACTCAGGGAAGACAAAAGATAGGCTCCCCTTTGCAGAGATGAGGAAGGCGGGGAAGAGAATAGCCCGAGGGCCCATGGCTCCCTTTAATTCACCTCACCTCTCCCCTGTTCTCCTCCCCTTGAAGCTCTTTCAATTAAACCTAAGTAGGGTTGCTACTGCCTCCAAGCTGTGTTCTCTTCACTTGCTGTATTAGTTTCCTAGGGTTGCCTTAACAAATTACCACACATTTAGTAAATTAAAACAACAGAAATTTGTTCTCCCAGTTCTGAAGGCCAGAAGTTTGAAAACAAGGTGTCTGTTGAGTCAGGTTCCCTCAAAGAGCCCTAGGGGAAAACCTTTCCTTGCTTCCTTCCAGCTTCTGGTGGCTACCAGAGTTTCTTGGTTTGGGTTTGCATAACTCCACTCACTTCCTCAGTCTTCACATGGCCTTCCTCCTGTGTCTTCCCTCCTCTTTAAAGACATTAATCATCTTAGATTTAAAGACCTCCCTTATCCAGGATAATCTCATCTTGAGATTCTTGCTCCCTCTACAAAAACCTGTTTTCAAAATAAGTCACATTCACAGGTACAGACAGTAGGATTTGGCCGTATCTTTTGGGAGGCTACAATTCAACCACTACACTTAGCATCTCTGTAAACTAAGATTAATACACCTACCTGAAGAGGTTGTTACTGGGGTTGGGGGTTATATATTTAAAATTTAGCTGATAGTAAATATTTAATAACGAGGTTTTCATTTTGACTATGATACTGAACCAATGACCCTAATGCTTCAAAAGGGCCAAAACTCAAAATGTCAGGAGTTTAGAGGACAGAGAGATTTATCAATAGAGAAGGTGCCAACTGAGAAGATGGGAGACCTAATGGTGTTACAGGGCACAGCCAGGGCCCTCCGCAAAGTGTTTTTGTAACGGGGTCCAGAGATTGGGGTGTCCAAGAAAAATATATTCCCCACCCCAGGGCGGGCCGCCATGGGGGATGGGAGCCTTGAGCAGGGCCATTGAGAAGTCAGTTTGCATGTCAATAACAGGATAGCTTCCTTCCCCCTTTGCAAAGAGGATTATTTGGCATATCACCGAAGCTAATCAGGAAGGTTTAAAAGACTTAATACAGAATGTAACTGAGAGAGAAAGAAAGAGGAGAGACAGGGTCCTGCAGGAGAGACAAAGGGACACAGACTCTGGGGAACAGTGTAATGACCGCGAGGGAAGAAAGAGGGGAGAAAGGACTCTTGCTAGTGGGCCAGGAGAAGGTGCCACATGGTTATGGATTAAGAGCTGCGATGCAGCGGATGGTGCTGAGACCCGTGAGAAGCCTGCCTAGCCGAGCCCCGGACTCTGTTCTTTTTCTTCTGAAGGATGGTACCCTGGACAGTCCTGACTGGCCTAACTGGGCAAAGGGGGGAAGGCAGGACTGTGTGTGCTGGTGATTGTTTTAAAGGGATTTTGAGGTTTAAGGGCAACACTTAGCCATTAATCAAACCTGTATAAACCTGTTTGAACAAATAGTTCCTTTTCCTTTTCACCAAACTGCCATTCAGAGCCATAATTCCAAGGGTGGCGGGCAAAGGACCCACAATCGAGGGACCCCGAGGAAGGGGGGGGGGGTGTCATTTCAGTAATAGCAACTGGGCAACCCCCCCGCCACAGGTCCATTTGTTCCGTAACACCACCTTGATAGCAAGCCTGTAGAGTATGTACAAAGAGGGGAATGTTACATTTAACTGATAAAAGTCCATGGGGTCCTGGTAAGTTTCCAGGAGGCCAACATAAAAAAAGAATTGATTCCAAAGAGTTGGCCCTTACCCAAGGACTCATTATTTGCATCTTCTTCCTTCTTCTGCTTTGACAGCAATGGTGGGCAAGGGAAACAGAGGTGTTTAGACTAAAGAGCTTTGAACAAATAATCGACACACTCGTGAATAGATGTCAATGGCAAATAAGATATCATAGTTGGAGCCAAATTACAAATATTGATTTAATTTAAGAGATAGGTTAGAACAGAGAAATCTGGTGGTGAAGTGTTTCTTGTTTCCATTCTCTCTTTGAGACCTCTTTTCTCTGATTTTACACGTTTCTTGGGTCTTTATCATATTCTGCCTTGATTTGTATATTTGCTTCATCAGGAACCACATAATCACCTGTGACTCCCTGCCTATATTCCACTCTTTATTCACCTGCGTGGAATTTTACTTCTTGCCACACTATTATTCAAAAACCCCCTAATAGTCACAAACTAAAATCCAGATATCAAATATCTTAGGTTAGATCTTGAAGCAGTACAACTTTAACTTCTATCACAGTCCAACAAAACCTTTCTTACCTTCCCCTCATTTCTGCAGGATTTCTTCTTCTCTGGGTCTTTGATCACACATCACAATGCTCTCCCCTTAACCCTTACTTCCTGCACACCTTTCTCCTGATCTTTCATTCAAATATTTACTCCAGGATTTGGGGATCCTGCCAGTTGCTGAGATGTCTGTTCTGATGATGCATTCCAAAACTGGGGAAATAACCACAGGATAGATTCAGGGACTCATTGGGTCCACTGTTAGATGGGCCCAAGCTAAAACTCCATTGGTTACCATAGGCTCCAATTTTCACTGATAGAGCAGAATGACATTTTGGATCACTAGGAGTTGGTGTCAATTTAGAAACAGTATTCAGTATTCCCTGGTGAGTCTGATTATTTTCTTTTATTCAAAGTACAATAGCCCTGGTAAATGGCTTCGGTCCTTTGGGTGAAAGGGGGGCTACATACTAAACCTGACAAGCTCAGAAAAGGCAAGCATGGCAAGCCTGCCAAGCTCAGAGGCCTAAAGTAACCACAAAGGGTGGTCTGAAATTAAAACTTCCCACCTAAAAATGAGTCATGGTGGGTAGTCATGTCCTAGGCAGTATTTTCCTTGACAAAGGTCAATCTTTACCTTAACTGAGCCTGTCTATTGTCTTTTTAAAAAATGTTTTATTTATTTAATTTTAGAGAGAGCAGAAGGGAGGGAGAAAGAGAGGAACAGAAACATCGATGTGTGAGAGATACTCAATTGGTTGCCTCTCACATGTCCCCACCTGGGGTCCTGGCCTGCAACACAGGCATGTGCCCTGACTGGGAATCAAACTGGCAACCCTTCAGTTCTCAGGCAGGCACTCAATCGACTGAGCCACACCAGCCAGGACTTGTCTACTGTCTTTTTGCATCTTTGACAACGTACCTTTGGAAAGTCAGGGTGTCCAGACCCCT